TTATACGTGGATTTTGAGTACAAATATGGTAATGCATTTAAATGAAATAATAGGAAAAAATATACTATGCAAACACTAATCATGAAAAAATTGTTAGACTGGAATCCAAAAAGCTCAAATGGATAAGCTCCTACTGACATTAATGTTTAATAGAGGAAGGAAAATACAACTTATAAATACAGTAATATCTGGAATGAAAAGGGGAATATTATTACAGGTCCTACAGGTGTTAGAATAAAAAGGAATATTGTATAAAACTTTATAGAAATAAATCCAGTGATTACAAAGGAAGTGAACAAACTTTGTGCTTGTATATATAATATATAAATTATACCTCACTAAAATCAGCCTACATCTTATTATCATAAAGCATCTTGGCCTGTCCTCAGGTAAAAGAAGAAATCATGATCTCTATATATATTATAACAAATAATTACAGTTTGTCACAGAACTCCATGATTGTGAAGGTTACAGAAAAGGGCCCTTAATCTGTTTTCTGTTCATTGCATTGTTTCTTTGTAGTCAACAACTGGAACCATAAGGCCATCTGGAAATGTTTGAGAATAGCATTAGTGGTATTAAATACCGATATGTGTTTTTGAGTTGAAACTTCAAAGCCAACAACTGCAAAGCATTTGAGAAATGTCTAATTCTACAGAAGCTTTAAAAGGGTGCACACTGCAGATCTGATGCTGGGTTATTTTTGAGTGGTGGTGGAGGTGGTTTTCATAGAACAAAAATGTGATTGACATTGTATAACCCCAAGGGTTTTGCAATGGGTGTATCAATAGGATCTTTGAAAGCCTCAATTGCTTCTTAATGAGCTTGTATAAATTCAATACAATCAAAATCTCAAGAAGTAATCTTCATAAAGTATAGAAAAATTTCCTGGACAATGAAAAGTCCAGAAGACACCGTGACTGATTCTCCACCCACTGCCCCTAGAAGCCAGTGTAGCTAAGTGCATGGCACAGACTCAAAAAATAGTAGTGGCAATGAATGAATGATGCGTCCAAACTGGAACCATTTATTTAGTAATCACACTGGCCATCCTTAAGTGTTGTGGGGGTTGCAAAAGTAACACAAGACATCTGGCTTGAAAAATCCTTAACTTCTAAGCAGGAACACTGGCAGACATGGGAAACCACCAAGAAAAATAGGACCTTTTAATAGCAGCCTGTCTTGTAGGATTCCAGGCCAGTCTCGTTTCCCAGGAAGATTGCATTGCATGTGGTAATCTCTGAGTTCCCAGAGAGGTTCTTATCATCTTTCGAAAGATCTTGCTACTAATTTTCTTGGTTTCTAAGAAAGAACAAAGAAGAGACCTGTATTAATAGTTCTAGTATGCACGAGTTAAAACAGAGCCACAATTCCCCCTGAAACCATTGCTTTTGTTTGTCGAGATGCTGTAAGTGCTTAGAGGAGGGGCAAAGGAATAAGAAAGTGGAGGCATGAGTCACATGATCTCTAAGATGTTGGTGTATCAGGGAAGCTGGGGTAATTGCGTGGAACTGGTGAGTTCCTCTCTTACCAGACAGATGTCATCAAGGATAAGAACATTTTTCAAAACAGCCTTTGCTTACTCTGGTGTCAAAAAATTTAGAAAGCTCAAGAAATACTTGTAAAAGAAAGGAAATAGGCTTACAGTGAAATACCCAAGTTCCCAGACTTTACTTGGCAGAGAAAAAAGAGAGTGAAGCCAAGGAACCTTTTCCACACCCCCAATATGCCTTTTTAAGCCCTCCTTTTTAAACTTTAGTCTTAACACAGTATTCTAGTTTTAGTGTTACCAGATCTCATTCGCCTGTGAGAATAAGAATAAGACCAAAGAATAAGACCATATTTACTTTTTGAGGTTTTTTTTTAGGGGAGGTGGTTTTTTGAGACAGGGTCACGCTGTACAGTTTAGGCTGCCCCTGAACTCACTATGTAGCCCAGGCTGGCACTGAACTTGCAGCAATCCTCAGGCCTCAGTGTTCAGGGTGCTGGGAGTATAAGCATGTGCCACCACCACACCTAGCCCATATGTACTCTAAATACCCAATCTTTTTTCTTACCTGTCAAAAATGAGCCTTCTTCTCCATAGGGTTCTCCAACTATTTATTCCATAGTGCTATCTATGTATGCTCAGGAATAGACTCTGATTTCCCGGTCCTATCCTTACCCTATTGGCACCTTATGGCTACCTCTGCTGCTGGCACCCTCATGCAACTGCCAATCCATAGAATACTCTTGTCCCCCCTGCCAGGTGACTTCTAGTGCCCTTACACACACACACACACACACACACACACACACACACACACACAGAAGCATGGCCTTGCTGGGAGATATACACTGTTTTCATCTTTATCTCTCCGTCTAAAGCATGAGAGATTTCCCTTTGTCATCACCAAATATGATTTGAAATTAAACTATGCCTTTTTGTTGGAAATATTAAAATATTAGAGGTAATGTCAGACATACAACACAGAGAGATTGGTTGTCAACCACATCAAGGACCCAGACTTGCCCAATACCAATTACCAGTCAGCTTCTCCTTAGCCTTCCTCATATGACCAAGTTAAGTTTATCCCTTCTCCAAAACTGAGCTCTTCCCAGGATGATTAATGCACACATCCATTCCCTCCACCCACAACTTCAGTAAATATTTGCTAAATGTCTGTTATGTTCCAGGCACTCAAATAGACATAGAAGATGTAGTGGGGACCCAAAAAGAGATACCCAGCCCTAACGGAGATTAAAGTGTAGAACTGGAGAGGGAAAGAAAATATACAGATAGACAAACAGTTACATAGTCAAATATTATAAGTTATAAAGCAGCCTAGTTTCTACAAAGCAAGAATTATGGCTCCATAAGGAAGTCCAATCGAGGAGGATCATTTGGATTGGGTAAGATGAACAAGGGCCACTATGAGAAATCGACATTTAAATTGAGATTGAGTGAAAATGCTCCCTGTGAAGAACTTCTCAGGCAGCAGAGACTGCTGGTGTGGAATGTCTGTCAGACAAGGGGCTTGGAAGACTAAAATAGCTGAAGAGCAAAAAGTAAGGGTAGAGATCCCAGAGGATGGACAGGGAGGCAGAAGCCATGCCATGAGGGTATTGCAAGGCCATGGAAAACACTGGGTTATCTCACTTATAATAGGCTGCTATTAGAGGGTTTTGAGCAAGAGAGAGAATGGCATGATTTGCTGTATATTTTAAGAAGATGCTGGCAGCCATGGAGAGAGTCAGAAGAAGAGGAACAAGTGGACAGAGGACAGAGGTTAAGCAAAGGAAAGTGGCTTGGGCTATAGTGTTGACAAAAGAGGTAGAGAAGCAGTCTATTCATAGGTATGTTTGAAGTAGAAGCAGCACAATTTGCCAATGGTGGGTGTGGAGACATGGAGAGAGATAGAAAAGTCATCTAAGTAGGGGAACAAGGAGGTATCTAATTTCTTACCTGGGCAGTTGGGCATGTGATCTAATATCTGTGCCCAATAAGATGATCGGATAACAGTTAGAATATTTCCTGAAGTCTGAGTGATAGGACCTTCACTAACCCACCTGACAAGCATCAGAGGCCCAGGTACAGACCTGGACTGAACACTTTTCGATTTATCTTTAAAATTTCCAACCACCTCGCCATGTAGCTGCCCCTATGGCTGGCCACCCATCACATCAGGTTTTATAGTAGGCAAGTTCTTTTATTAAAATCCCCCCACAAAGTTGCCAGAATAAACTGGCAATGTTTCATTCACTGATTCAGTTGTTCAGAGAGCCTGGCACACTCTAAGCACCCAGCTCGCATGGCTCCTGCTCTTCACTGATGCAGGTGCTTTGGAGAGCTTACCATTTCTCCCAGACAGCTCCAGCCTAGGAGGCTGCTTTACAGAGTAGAAACCTCCACTGAGCGAGACAGATTTGACTCTAACTTTCTGCTCCCCTATTTACCCTCTCTGAGGCCAAATTTTTCACCTGTAACATGGGAATACACAGCTGTGTTAAGTGATTATCATGAGGTGAAATCAGAAATCTTTGAGCAGCACTTTGTATCTAAGGGGATGCTCAGGAAGTGATAGATTCTTTACCTAATGAGAAAGAAGCTTCCCTTTCTAATTTAAATACTATGTCTCTACCCTATCTCCCTAGAAACACCAGAGTGGGAGTAAGACAATTTCAAGCCCTTTCATAGGTTTATGAAATGATCTTATGTTGATGAATAAGTTTTATGAACAGTTACGTTTTTCAGAAATTGTGTTCTCTTTTTTGGCACAGTATACAACTGTTAAGTGCAAATGTGGGCATCTTACACTCTAAGGAGAATGGCCCACAAGGATTTCCTTTGGCCTCTAAACTGCCCACATTCCACACTACCAGTCACACTTTTTCCCTTGCTGTCTCTCACTTCCTCTTCCTTCCCCCACTGTCACCTTGAGCAAACAGAGTAAGAAAACACAGGCACCAACCCACAGGAAACAGTCATAGTTGTCCTAGAAAGCACCGATTCCTTGGGCTTTTATTTTCAACGTTGAATGCATGGTTTCCTTTGGCACAACTGCGCACACAGCAGTCTGCTCCAGACGCCTCCTGTTCCCACCGCATCCTTGTGGTGGCTTCCACTGGTTTCTTGGTGCTTGGCTTTCTCTGGCTCATAGGAACTACTCACTTCTTTGCTTGAGTTATTGTGTGCCCCCCTGGTGGCAGTTACATTTTAAGATGCATTTCCAACATAGAAAGAAAACTGTCCATGTTGTGGGAAAGGAAAACCTTCACAAGCAAGTGGGGTTCCTGCAGTAGGGTCCTTAACTTGGTCTTTGAAATTCCGGTCATCCTATGGTATGGCTGACCCTGGACTGGTAGCGTAACACAAAGACTTTCCTCTGGTGACTCTTGTGGGACTCTTGGGTAATAATTCAGTATCCTTGGAACTAAGACCAGTACATAGCATATCAACAGTGTACCATTTCTACTGTAAAATAGTCTACCAAGACTTACAGATTATCTTTGGATTACAGGGAACAGATTCGCCAAGGCCTAGAAGAACTCCAGAAAGTTCTACCAGGAGGAGACACCTACATGCATGAAGGATTTGAAAGGGTAATTTTAAGACAATTTTAAACTCCAACCATGAATAGTATTATTGAAGTATCAATAAAGGATGGCTCATGAGATAAAGCACGTGCATCAAGGCAAATGAACAACATTCTATAGCAAGAGTATAATTTTGCTTCTTATAAGCTTATATATTATGTACATTGATAGCTGTATCTAACAAACTAGAAAAAACAGATTTGTTTTCCTTCTTTGCTAACTTGATGGTTTTTAGCTGGTGACTGGATGGTACTCATGACTCACACCACATACAAGTCCCACCAGTTTCCAAGTGACCTTTACTAGATGACAGTGTCAGTGGTTGAAATAGAATTGCCCTGACTTTAAGAGACAAATACAAGCTTCTGAGAAGCAAGACATCCCTCCACGTGCACACTGTGTGTGAGAATAACTTTACCTGCATATCATCCACTGGCACCATGGAGTGAAGCCTGGGTGAATTCCATGAAGAGCCAAGGCTTACCCCGGCTGTGTACCCAATGCCAACCTACTACTCAGTAAGCCACTTGGAGCAGCAAGCAGTGGGTAAATGTCTGATAGCTTGTTCATGTGTTTTTCAGGCCAGTGAGCAGATTTATTATGAAAACAGTCAAGGTAAGATGAGAGCACAAACTGCAATTATGAAATGCATAGTGTTTTTCTCTGTCTCTGAAAAAGTGCCTCAATAATTTCATGGTTCGAGGTATGTGTTCAGTATTGTCAGTAATCTTTGGACACACACTTCACCACAAAAAAACTGCATAGGAAGCGTGTTCCAAGTCAAATTCTACTGCCCTATTAATGTTAAGTTATGCTATAAAAATAATTAAGAATCCACTATGGGCAAAATCTGTAATTCTCATGAACAGTTTTGCATGATGAATTTATTAAGTCAGTAAATACTTGGATTGGTTACTAAAGTCTTGGATTTTTATGTCAAATCTGATTATCTTGTCCTTCTCTGATCTCCAAGGATCTTCATTACTATGAATTGGATATGTTATTCAAATTGTTTGGTCTATTTTTTCTTTATTTAAAAGACAAGCTTAGAGTATCTAGTAATAGAAATAATAATAATAATTATTATTATTATTATTACTTTAGCTATTATTACCACAACTTTCATGGTTATTATCTCTTTATCTCAGACAGCTCTTAAAAGATTGTATTTGATATCAATATGATAGTGGGGGGAGTAGGGATTTTCCTCCTTAGGCCTGTAGAAGTATCTACTTACTGTTTGACTTGAACTGTACCAAATAGAACAGACCCAGGATCAACACCAAAATTTGCTAAAATAAATCAGCTGTGAGTATTGTTACTAGAAGTCTAAGTATTGCTGAAAGAGTTCTAGTAGGTTTAGCCAACTTCTGTAACATTTCCAGTCAGCTTGAAAATCATGAGAACTATTAATTTTGGCCAAACTGTTTTCAAAGGATAGTGTTGTGATCAACTACAGCATATGAGAAGGGCCAAAAAACAAAGCCCTAGTGTTGGGGTTTGCTCTCAGGCCTGCCTGACAGGCATGTGGACTGCTTGCAGAAATAATCACACATGGCTCACTGGAAGCACTCTTGTCCCCTGGTTGGGCACACCTATCCACTTGACCAGATCAAACTCAAACATTTGTTGAGATAAGGCTAAGAAACCCAGAAGCCAACTCTTCTCCCCTTTACTCTGTCTCTGTGGAACTATTCTTCACTTCTGGAGTTGGTGATTCTACAATATTGACTTGAAGTAGTTGAACTTACAGGAGACAAACCTCAGGCTGAGAGAAAGTTTCCTGGATGAGGCAGGAAGACTGAGTTGGTCTGTATTCTCTTGAGCAGGATACCGGACAGCAAGTGTCATCATTGCTTTGACTGACGGGGAGCTCCACGAAGATCTCTTTTTCTATTCAGAGAGGGAGGTAAGCAATGGTTTGGCCAATATCTAAACACATTCCTGAGCATCTGAGGGTGTAGGTCAGTGGTAGAGTAAATGCTTAGCCTCCCTGAGACCCTGCGTTTAATACTCAAAGTCCCTCTCAAAAAAAAAAAAAAAAAAAAAAAAAAAAAAAGACACAGGGCTTCTCTCCAAAAGACTGCGCTTTGTACTCAGCCAAAGTGAAGTGACAAGTATTTTCTATAAAACTCGTGTATAGTGTTTCATATATAAAAATAATCACAGTAATTCATTTTTAGAACTGAATTTTGAGGCATTACATGTAGTACATGTTTTTCCCTTTAAAAGTATGTGCATATTATTGTTTTAAAGCATAAAATATATATACCATACCTTTTAAAAAGGTATTATATTGCTTTAGCAGTTTTAAAATCTCATATATCACTTTTTTAAAAAAGCATTGGTATGTTTTTCCCTTTATTTTCCCTCCTATTTTCTACTAAATCAAGAGAAAGGAAAAGAATTTTCTGGGAATGCATAAGAACCAGTCTTCTTAGGATGTCCTAATCAGTGAGACTTTCACACTGAGAACCAAAATTAAGTGGTAATCGGTTGCAAAGTCAGTTATAATCTCTCTTCTGTGTTTCTCCTTTTTTTAATGTTCTTAAATATTACTTCTGAATACAAGTAGGAGAATTTTATAAGTGAAGCCTCCAGTTTGTGTAACTGGACTTAGAAAAAGAAACGTACTCACGGATTGCAAAGTTGTGTTATACTTAGGAAATTCTTTCCGTTTGGATTTAAGCTATATGTACCGCTGGATTAAGGAACCAAGTAACCATTTAACCACAGAATGTATTAAAGCTCTATTCGTAGCACAGTTTCATTCAGACCAAAATAAAAAAGAAACACACGACAGGGAAAGACAGGCAGCAAGGGAGGGAAAAGTTAATCACAGTATTACACGTCCCTCAGACTCTTAAACGCACTTTAAACTCAGCTGTCTCTGTGAGTGTGAAGGACACACCGACTTATTCATAGGGAGCAGGGAGTTTGGCTTGCACCAGGCACTTTGCTAGACTCTAGGGACACTGAGGTGAGTGACACACAGTTGCTGCCCTCATGGATCTTACCATGAAATATATCCTGCTTTCATTATTCCTCCCTTCCCCCACTAGCGCAGAGGATACCTCAGTGCAGGAAGACACGCAAGCCGTGTGAGCACGTGGGAAAGAGTATGTTTCTATATTCTAAGGTTGAAACTATGTGCTGGTTATGCCAAATGGCTTATTTGGGTGCTAAATAATGGTCAAATAAAGTAAAAATCCTAATAAGGAAAAAACTGAAAATAAAATAAATGATGAGTGTTGGTGATTTCAAATAAGGGTCAGTAGGAAGGAATTTTAGCTATGGGCCATACAAACTGGGAAAAATATTCAGAGTGCCAATGCTAAGTAAAGAAAGTTTTCTGAAAAAGAAAAAAAAAAGCTCAAGCTTGAGTTGTAAAGAAATTGAACCTTTCCATGCTTGATAATTCTACAGAAAGCCTGACTACAAAGGAAGCATCATAGAGTGATTGCTTATCAAACTAGCATTAAACTGACTATAGAATTTTGATTTGTCCTGAAAGCAGCAAAAATTATTTGCCACATGAAGGTGGGAAAAAGACATACATTTCTGTCCGTTTCAAAATTCAATGTCAGACATAAAGGGATTTGAACACTGAGGTTTAGGATAACACAATTCAAGTCAACATGCATGTGTTAAGTACTTACTAGACACGCACAATCAGTTATCTGTTGAGCACCAACTATAAGCACCAACAGTTTCTGCTTTTTTGTTTTCGATTCTGTAACACAGCAGAACCTGGAAAACAACTATCAGAATCTTAATGCTTAGTTATAGAGAATATCATACATTCACCTATTCAAATATAGACCAACAAATAAACCAGTTTGTTCTATAGGAATGAAAAGGACTTTGTTCATAAAGAATGTTGATGTACATGAGCACCTGTATTGGTCTAGGCCTTGTGTGAGGTCCTCCACGCATGTTATCTCATTTAATCTCCCAAACCCTTTCTGGAGTAAACCCACCCCATCAAACTCAGATATGTCTGGTTCCAGCGGCCACATTCCTTTGGGCTACTGTGCTGCCATTAATGGAAAAGTGTAACATTAAAAATCCACTTGGACTATTATTCAGCTATTAAAAAAATAAATTCAAAGCTTTTATAGGTAAATGGACGCAACTAGAGAGTATATTGGTAAGTGGAATAAATCAGACCCACATGAGCAAACATCATATTGTCTCACTAGTGTAAGAACCTGAAAGAGTAATTAAAATCTGAAAGGTACAATAGATACTATGAGAGGGAAAGAATTGGTTCCATAGGAACAAAAAACTGGGATGAAGAAAAGCACAAAAGAAAGACAGGAAAAAGATATATTTATGTATATATACAAGATAGCTTGGATAACTGTGCTGCTGATCTTTGCTAGTCTATTGAAAGGATCAGTTAATGCTTTTTTAATTTTTTTCTTTTTTCAATTTCTTGACCTCACACAAGGCCTAGACCAATACAGGTGCTCATGTATATCAGCATTCTTTATGAACAAGATCCTTTTCATTCCTATAGAACAAACTGGTTTATTTGTTGGTCTATATTTGAAACTTTTTATTTATTTTTTTCCAAAGTTTTATTGATAAACAGATAGCAATGAGACAGTTTCAAATCAAATCGAAAGTACAGTTTCAACAAATAATACACTGCATATATTCTTC